GAACCTGTGCTGGATAGCTTCAGTTGCCAATTTGACACATCTGGGTGGAGTGAAGCTCAATTGAGGAATTTCCTTCATTGGAATGGCCTGTGGCCATGTCTGTCTGTGGGGCATTTTCTTGATCGTTGAATGATGTGGGAGGGCCCAGCCCACTGTGGACAGGTGGTCCTGTGTTGCAGAAGAAAGCAGGCTGAGCACAGGCCAGGGGAGAAAGCATTCCTCCATGGTCTGTGCTTCAGTTCCTGCCTCCAGGTTCCTGCCCTGAGTTCCCTCAGTGATGAGCTGTGACCTGGGAGACGTAAGAGAAAATAAACCCTTTCTCTCCCAAGTTGTTAGTGGTTTTTTGTTTTGTTTTGAATTTTTATACTTTGGTCTTTTTGAGACAGGGTCTCCCTGTAGCCCCAGCTGGCCTGGCACTCACATGTAGACTGGGCTGCCCTCAGTCTCACAGAGAACCACCTGCCTCTGCCTCCCAAGTTGTTAGTGTTTCTATCACAGCAAAAGAGAAGCAAACTAGGACAGAACCCAAGGTTCCATGCATGCTAGGCAAGCACTCTACTAACAGCTATAGCTCTATCCCATAAATAGATAACTCTAAGATGGTCTAGAAAACCTTGGCAGCTATCAAATGCAAGTGCACTCTTCATTTTTAAAGGCAGCAAATAGACACTGTGACCCTGCTCTATGCTGGTGGCTGTGCTTGGTTCTGGGCATACGAAGGTGACTGGACCATACTTCCTCGCTTGAGGAAACCCAGCACAGAACTCAGGTTACCTGCTGCCTCGATTTCCATCCCTTCCATCTTAATCTGCCTCCCTCGTCCTCTTCTTGCTCAGGCTGGACCTTACTTAAAGCCCCACCTGTCTTCAGAGGAGAGACAAATCACTCTGCCACCTGGGTTCTATGTGCTATGTGCTTTAATTTTTACCGTCTCATTGCATTCTCATGCTCACTGATACAGAGATTATCCATCCATTTTACAGATGAAACAAGCCAAGTGAGGTCTCTACCCAGGGGCTGACATTGAGTCTGGCTCCAAATACTGTGCTCCTCCCGGTGCACTATGGTGGCCCTCCCTGGACCCTGGTATCCAGCTTGCTCCTTCCAGGCGAAAATGGAAGGACAATGGATCTGGAGGCGAAAGATGCAGATTGAGAGATTTGGCTTTTCACTCAGTCTAGATGACCCTTTGCTTTCTTAAGTTTCCTTAAGATCAATTCTTTCATCTGTAAGACGGGGCTGATGCTGTGTCTACTGCTTAAAGCTGTGATCCAGTTTAGAAAGTTCTAATAGCCCTGAAGCCTTAGATAAGAACATGGATCTGAGGCAGAACCAGCAGCCCAGCTGGACAGGAAACAGATGTGCTGTCCAAGGCAGCAAAAGGCAAGGCTAAGATAACATTGTCAGGTGTCCAGATGGAAGGACATAGCAAAGATCCACACAGGACATTGAGCAGGGAAAAACAACAGGAGAGGCCAGAAGAGCATTCCAGGGCCCAGCAACCCAGGGAATGCCAGGGCTCCCTCCTACCTGGCCTTCCCTAAGAAACCTGAGTGAACATTTTTTGAGACTTATGTCCAGGTTCTGATCTCCGTGCATTCAGGCTGTATCCTTTAATCCTCACAATAACCCTGGGTACATGCCATTTTCATCCCTATTTCAGGCTAGGAAATTAAGGCATGGAAATCACATAGGAACTACTGATGGCACACAAAGGGAGGGCTCCATATGACATATAGCGAGGCCAGCATATACTTGAAGGCCCCTGGGATTGTAAGATGTTGGATAGATGTATGGTAGAATTAAACCCAAGCAGACATGTAGCCTCTCTTGGCCTCTGGATAACTCCAATAGAGAGTGATGGCTAAAACCCCCAGACATCCTGGTCTGCCTTGGAGCTAGGGCTCTCCTAACAGGTCCTGAGGATCCCAAAGGATGGCTGGACAGGCTCTGGTGGCTGGCCCAGTCTCCACGGTCCCTAGACTCCTACTTCCTGTGTGCGTCTGAGGAATCAGGGATTGCTGGGCCTTTCTAGGTCAAATATAGCTTAGGCTCAGTGAACCTGGGGTTGGAGGTTGATGGCAGGGCTCCACATGGCCAGGATTTGAATGTTCCTATCCCTCCCCCCACCCCCCACCCTCAGCACAGATTTCTGAGCCAGAAGCTTCCTGGAATTCTCCCACGCCCTCATTAGTTCCCAGGCACTGAGAGGCAGACTGGGGGTACTGAAGGCCCCACCCCAGCTGAGGGTAGGACATACAGTGGGCTTCTTAACAGTCACAGTGATCTTCAGGCCACAAATGGCAGGTCTTAGGCGACCTCGCCAAGCCTGTGAGGGCAGAGGAGTGGATGTGTGGGTAGGAGATACTTGGGAGAGCAGCAGAGCCTGAAGGAGGGAAATGCATGACTGGGCTGGGGAGGGAGGCAGGGGAGAGGGTAGGGATGGAGGAGGCCTAGCACAAGTGTAGGCAACAAACCCCAAGAGCTAATGCAGAAGGGGGTAGGGGTGGAGGAATACAGTAAAAGCCAAGGACCCACAGTGCCTGGAAGCAGAGGTGTAGTCAAAGAGAAGGGCTTTCAGAGACAGAGGTGAGCAGCCTCTCAGCTCTGAGAAGTTAGCTCCCAGGGTGCCTCACAGCTGTGCTGAAAATGGTGCAAGGGTGCTTCAGAAGCCACAGGGAAGGAAGCTGGAAGGGGCGCCACAAAGGACTTTAACATACTGGAAATGGGAAGGGAGAGACCAAAGCTCTAAGACCCAGGGCCAAGAGTATGAACAGTTCCATCAGGAGGAGGCTGGCCCTTGCTGAGGCCTGGGTATAGGTACCCTAAGGAGAGGCTGAAGCAACATCAGGAGCCACTGAAGGGGGAGATGCTAAGGCCTTCTCCAGAGGCATCCTCAGGCTGGGATACATGAGACTTTGCCCCCCCTCCCACCCTCAAAAAAGCCAGTGAGGAGAACTGGGCACAGACAGCACTCTCAGGAAGGGCAGGGCGGCCAGCAGGGTACATGCAGGTTCTGGGAGATCTGGCAGCAAGCTCTGGCTGGGCTGAAGTCACACTCAAGGCTGTGAGTAGACTACTGAAAGCAGAATAGGGCCTGTGTTGCAAGAATAAGGGCCTGGCAGTCTACGTAGGGGATTTGACACAGGTCTTGCTGTTCACAGGAGCCAGTGTGTAGTCTGGCTTTGGAAGAGTCCTCCCACTGAGGACTGAGAGGAAGCACACAGTATGGCTGGCAGGAGACCTTCCAACCCAGGCCCATACTGTTGGCAACAGAAATATATACTGGTGTTGAAACTAATCAGAAATGGCTCTCAAACCAGCTGAGAGCTGATGGGAAGCCAGTACTGATAAGGACACGACGCCAGGCTACTGCCTTCCAATGCTATGCATGAGCCCAAAGAACCAAGGGCTGGACCAGAAGAATCCTTCTAGAGGGCACTTCCATGGTGACCAGGAGCCACAGTGAGCAGACACCCTAGATTTTAGTTGCAGCAGAGAATTCTCAGCAATGTCTGAAGCTGCTAATATAGTCTGTCTCACACACTAACAATGCACCCAGAGGACACAGGAAGCTTCCAGATGTGGCCCTTCCCTTGCTGTTTAACATTTCATCTGGGAGCCTACAGCCACTGTGCCTCCTTCCAGCACTGCATCCATTGCCCATGCCCCTAGGCGCTCTCCAATTCAGGAAAGCAAGGACCAGGGGCAAGTGGGGGAGGGGAGGAGAGGGTAAAGACTCCCACTACCCTTATTCCTCCCTTAGCACCCAGGTGCAGGGATGGCACCCATACCAAAGGAAGAGGAAGAGTTCCTTCCTGGGTCCCCACTCAGTACTCCAGCCCTGGGCCTGCCCCCGCACCCACTGAGACCCAGGAACAGCTGAGGCAAACACACCCCTTGGGTTCTGGGTAGGAAGAGGCAAATTTTCCATACTGAACTGGAACCCAGTGGCAGTAGAACCCTGGAGATGGATCTGCATCCTATCTCTGCATCCTCCTAGATAACATTCCACGGACGTCTCACAAGGTCAGTAGACTTCTGTGGACTGCACTGAATGTGATCAAGCCCTGTGTATTAATTCAAACTAATTTGTGGAGCACCAATGAGAGTCCTTGCTCTCAAGGAGCAAACAGGTGAGACCCAGTATGGCATGGTGGTGAAAGCAGGACTGCAGGAGGGAGTGCTAGAAGCACACAGAGGCCTCTTCAGCAGCTGTGAACTAGAGAGCCCATGCAACACAGGCACACTCAACTCATGCATGGCTCTCTGAAAATAGGACATGAATAGGTCATGAGAAAACTGAAAGAAATTAGAGAATGACTCACATGTGCTCAGCCTTGTTCTTGAAGCAAAAATTTAGCATTTGGGTTAGATGCAAGGCTGCACACAGGAACCTTTATAGTCTAAGGATTCAGCTTCTATTTTCAAATAAAGATTTTCATTTCTTGGTGGTTTGCTTTTGTGTCTCAAGAATGCTGTGGCTGCCAAGGGTCACCAGGATCAGGGCTACAAAGTAGACACTGGACAGGGAGGCAGGGATGAGGTGCAGCAACGTAAACCAGAGGGGGCCACCTGGTACAGAGGCCAGGCAGGGGAGCTACAGCAGGAAGTGACCAGCAAAGGCACTGCTCCAGAAAGGTGACTAGGAAAGTGCAGTGGGGAAAGGAGAGGTGGGAGTATGCACTTGGTGACCATGCATGCCTTGCAGACACAGGCTCCTCTGTCCAAAGTCGGCCCTCCCAGCCTCATCTATAAAGTGGAATGAGGACTGTATCTGCTTCACACAGATGACACAAGCATTAGGTAAGCTGGAATGCCTTTAGAGCAAGGTCTAGTATGTTAGCTTTTATTATCATTTATTTTTTCCTCTGAGGTGGCAAATAGTTCACTATGCTTATATCAAATATAAAAGTATTCAATGGTTTCTGTAAATCACATTTCACTTTGCCTGTGGGAAAAAAGGAGATGTAAATTATTTCAAGTAGACATGTTTCACGTTTTAAAATACTGTTTATTTTTTTAAATCACAGTAAAAACTGGTACACAAATTTTATACTACCAATGACAAGTGCTTCTCCTGCTCAAGTACACACATTTAACTCTCCAGACTAAACACGCTCTTTACGCTCTGAGGTTATGTAACATTAAGCAGGAAAACATTAATCAAAAATCAGTTTTGCACAAACAAGTATGATGAAGCAGCTCAAATAATCACCTGAATTTCAAGCACCACAGACACAATCCCAGGTGACAGCAGTGTATTGTGCGTGTTCCAACAGGGTTCACATTAGTACTGGGGTGTGTCTCTCCCCTTTGTTCACATTTCACTAAGTCTCAGGCAAATAACTGAGATGAACTTTTTTCAGGGAGTGGCCTTATTTTTTTTATGCACATTCCTTTGCCTTTTCCTAATTCAGGGTCACTAAAAATCTTGGCACCAGGAGCCAAAAGCCTCCAGAGGGCCACACTACAGAGGACCAGGAGCCACAAGCCTCCGGAGGGCTACACTATAGAGGACCACCAGGCGAGGGCAATTGGCTTGGGTTTGCAGGCATCTTTGGTCCTCTTGGTCCTCCGGAGTTCTTCCAGTACCCACTCCACTACCCCTCCAGACTGCTCTGTGGTGTGGAGAGGAGAATCTCTTGCCCTCCTGGGAGAGTGAGCAGGCACAAGGAGAGGCTTGGTTCTCTCCTCTTGTCCTCAACCTTCCCCTAGATTCAGAAAGTGTTTTTTACCAGCATGTGTCAGCACATAGCAATAAATGACTTTGAGGAACAGAAAATGTGGAAAATTCCTTAGGAAATGAGCCTTGGAGAAAGATGTGTTTAGGTCTGTGTGCTGGGATGCCCATTTCTACTGCTGCCAGGCAGAGGTTGGCAACATCACCATACTGTGCACTCCATGTTGAGTTTGCCACCCAGGAGAGACAGGTGTCCTAGAGGACACCATCAGTGATGGTGAAGGGAACACACTAGAGGCAGGATCTGGGACCACACAGTAACTGCACTTGGGCAAGCACCAATTCTTCTCACTCCCCTGTGGGTTCAAAAGCAGCTTGCATCTCCACGTGAAGTGTCTTTATCCATTACCTTTTAAAACATTTTGATCTCCAAACTGAGCCAGAGGAATGAACACACTATTTCAATGGGAAAACTATACATTCTGAAAATACTCTATCACCATAATCATCTCACGTTTCTTAGGAACTGATAAATGTAAGCCATCCACCATATCTTCCAGAACCACAACCATGACAATGAGAACACGGAGCAAGGATGACCTCACTGGCATTTCCCTTCAATGGGCAGCACCTTCTGGGCCTGGGTGGGCAACTGAGACAAAGGCTCCCTGAGGGCTAACACGGGGGTGGGGGTGGTGGGGGGAATCCCTCTTCCAGTGACACGAGGACCCCTTCTGAAAAGTCTTATGCAGCAGCCTCTAGGAACTCTGAGGTGAACACGGCTTCTGCATAGTCTTCACACATATCCTGCAGCTCTGCAGCCATGGCCCCCAGGGCTTCATCTACCAGTTCATCTGAAAAGCTGGAAGACAAAGGACACAGCTGAAAGCGTGGGCAGCCAAACACTGAGCTTTTCTTCATCCCTCCAGAAACCTAGTAAGTCAACTATGAAATTATGCAGAGATTCAGAAGGCCCAGAAGAGTCAAGATACTCCTGCTGAAGAACGGGGGGGGG